TAAAATAGGTTAACCTGGTAAAAAGTTATAATGTATTCCGGCATTTTTTCCTCTATGGAGATTTATTTCACATATATATGTAATGAAATTGATCGTTTAGATCTACTTGATTTAATAAAGAGATGTTGCAAAGGTAGAGGGTATAACTAGTTATGAGATATCAGTCGATATTGCCGACAAATATACATGGTCTCATTTTTACAGAGTTAACTTTATAAATGATCCACTTCGTGAATAATGGATATATATTTAGATTTTTTACAAAATAGGATTAACAGGATACGATAAGGATGAATCAAAACAGATACTCATTTCGTGTTTTTATGATTCACCTAAGAATGCAAAAGTGTAAATGTCGTGTTCGCTTCTAAGGACAATAATTTGAAATAATGTATCAGAAAATGTATAATTTCATAACCACTTAAGAACCCATAATGCCTTTTTAACATAAATATTCAAATTATTACATTTTATCACAATTAATTTATTAAAAATTAAATTATAATAAGAATAATAAAAACCTATTCTGAGGAATTTCGATCCCGAACAATGACTTTGGTGCCTACAATGCGTTTATGTGGCGCGTGCTTCTTCTTGTGTGTCTTCAAATCTACATCCGACTGCGATTCAGTGTGTGTGTGTTTTTTTAATGTAGCTGTTGGGGAATACAACAAAACTACCTGAGGACTGATAGGAATTTATGTTAAGACAAGAGAAGCGACAGAGGCATCTTTGTCATGCCACGAATCATTCAGTAATTTACGACCATTTAAATGCCTTCAGGAATTCTTGTTCAAACAAAGTTGAATGTTTTTATTTGTGTGTGTGTGTGTCCAATTTGTTTATCCTTGTCTATACGAGAATATATCCGCCTGGCCACCTTTTAACCTTCCCAGCTTGATTGGACTCAAAGCTTAATGACAAACATAAATGTGTGTAGTTAATTTACACCTGAATAACATTGTGTTTGTCTGTCCGTCCGTCCGTCCGTCTGTCTGTCTGAACAACTTGATTTTTCGGGTAGGACCAACATGGTGGCTTACCTGTGTTTGCTTTAATGCCCATGACATTGACTTTGTGTGGCTTTTGTTTCATTTGAGGCGTCGCATTAAATTATGTGCAAAATTAATGAACCCCAGCCACATTTCTTACTTAAACATTTACCCGGGATCAAACATTTGAGAATGTGGAGAAAAAGACAAAAAAGTACGCCATAAAACTCTGTCATAAATTAGCATTGATATTTTTGGTCCGACTTGGCTTATGGCTTCCAATCATTGGAATCAATGTGTGAGCTTTGCATATTTTTGTTAGTTTTCGGGTTTTTTGCATGTTTTGGAAGCATTCGCTTCGAATGAAATTTCCGTTTCGTCCGGAGAATAAATATATAAAAACGTTTGCCTTCTTTGTAACATTCAAGTGATGAGTTTTGTCCTGCGGTCTTGTGGAATGTGTCACATGAAATTAATTTGTGCAAACTAACATATACATACATATATGTATGTAGGTGTTCAAATATATGCGCAGCACAATATAATTTGGCGAAAAACACATGTTTTCAAATAATATTGTGATCGGGGTGATCCTTGAATCGTACTTAATTATTACATGGCTGTGCGTCCAACGGTTTTAATGACATTCGCTCACAGAACTTTTCATTTAATATTTTCCAAAACTGTTCTATCTCTTATCAAACCACTTGGAGCTTATCTCACCTTTGTTTCTTATTTTTGTTTACGATAACAGAGTACAACTAGAAAATCTTAAACCAATACCCTAGCTGGGGTTGCTTACATCTGATCTGATGGTTAATTAAATAATATCTGAGTACGCAGACATCTGAAAATATTTACGTGTAACTCCCACATTCGTGTACATACGACAATATAATTGGTATCAATTTAAAAGCCAACCACTTATCTTGGATAAACTATCAACTTCTCGGCTCTATGTCCTTCAGGAGTAAATATATACGCTATAGAATACAAATATTGTCATTTTTCACACAAAAGTCAGGGTTCATTTGACCCGCTAAATATTGACCCATCTTTATCATGCTTATTCTTTGGCCCAATCCTCTTTTCCATGTAAAAATTCGAGATGTTTGGACCATAATTGCGGCCTCTGGAGCTTTCAGAAAAACGGACAAAAATTAAGTAGAGTAACTTCGGGTAATGTGGACCACCATTTTCTTTTTTTGATATTGTGGGCGTAACAACGGTAAAAAATAAAAGCAAATTGTTTTCACAGCATGGTAGATTTGTTGGCTAATTATATTCCAGGTCAAAAATTATATATATTTGTCCGTAAAATTGTTATTGCATTATATTTCAAAAAACTCTAAACTGCATATAAAAATAACTTGGCGGGTAATGTGGACCAGTATGTGTGGGTAATGAGGATCAGTAAGTTAAAGGTAGGTTGTGGATTAATTGTGATAAATTTCAATTTATTGCACTCTTGGGTAACAATGAATGCAAAAATATATGGGTCCATGTTTTGGAATTGCCCCCATTTAAGGGTACCACCCCATTTGCGGTATTTTGAAGGTCTTTGCTTCATTATCCAATCGACGCACCTATAATTTCGGATATCGAGTTTTCAGAGGATTGAATACCTCCTCGCATTTGCGCCCTTCACACAAAAATGTCCCACTTTTTTATAGTGGTCCACATTACCCGACATTGAATATTTTTATTTAAAAATAATTATCAGCTTCAAAAATGAATAAAAATTTAAAAATAACCGAAAGTAATTACAGATAAACGTGTATTTTTGTTAAAGAAAACAAGAAAACCACATAACCTCTTTATATTCGAGAAAAAACAAAATGTTCGACTATTTTACAAAATCGTTCGACTATTGTGCTAAAAAATTTTCAAATCACACTTTTGCAATCAGAGCTACATTTTCACCTACTAAATTTTCAACATTGCAATTATTTATTAAAAACCAAGTTTGATGTTTGTTTTCACTAATTAGGAAAACATTTATCAAGGCGGCATTGGCATATTTCAAGCATTTTCTTAGATATGGGGGGTGGTCCACATTTGACGCATGGTCCACATTAGCAGAAGTTACTCTATTTGGTCCATTTCATCTCCTAAATATTAACCGATCTTTACCAAAAACAATAGTGGTCTTCATGGGCCGAACCCATCCTACATGCAAAATTTCGTGAAGATTGGTCCATAAGTGTGACCTGTATCGTGTTTACAAATTATAATGGACAGACGGACGGACACACATGTCTAGATCGACTCAGCTAGTCGAGATATGACTCTTGTGGCTGCACAAAGCTATAATACCCTGACAACATATTTGTGTAGGCTATAAATAGCACATATCTTGTGGATGACATGACATTTTGACAATTTTAAAGAAATTAAATTTAATTCATTTATTATTAAAAATTAACATATTGTGGTCTATAAATACTCTTTACATGTCTCGAAAGTTCCTAATATACTACTTTTAATACAATATTATATTTTTCGTGGCGTTATATTGCGAGTTTCGACCAAAAAATAAATGCTACCTGCGTACTAGTATCAAATTTAAATATTCTAACACCATAGTTCTTGACTTCTTGTAACCTCAGCAGCAAAATCGTACCACATACTAAATTTAATGATTCTATCTTTAATCTAGCACCCATTCGCATTAGGATGTAGTACTTTTCGTAATCTATTTGTACGATTTCCAAAACAGTTTTCTTACTTCAACTCGACACACTTACAGTAATCCCCATACGAAATTTCAAGAGGTTTATTACTTCACCCAATACAAATAATAGTTGGTGCATTGAATTTCATACACTTTTAGTACAAGTATCCATTAAACCATTCCCTTGAAACATGAAACATTTCCATACCCTTAAAGTACGAATTTCCACATACCCAGCCTTATCACACGCATTCTAACCAATACTAACCGATAGAAAATGTCAAGATTCCAGCTTCAGCCGTATCGTCTGGGTCATTCAACACATTTCGTCAGTAACTCTTTTACATATGCAGTAAATAGAAGAAGACGGCAATATTTTTATTTTGAATTCGTTTATTTTATTGAAATAAAAAGTAATTTAAGGATATACATATGGTGCGTTCCACAACCTGCAAGAATGTGACATTTTACACTACGGTAACAATTTTTTCTTTATGATATCGGAAAAATAGTGAAAATTGCCAGATTTTTGCAGTGCGAGAGCAGACCAATATATAGGTATATATTTGGCACATAATTGAGAAATAGAAAAAAAATTATAAAACTAACTTCACAGAGAACAAATATTTGTAAAAACGTAGTTATTTGATTGAATATTTGAACGGTGTGAAAAAAATCGAAGACTTGCATTCCACCACTTCCCAAAGGTTCTCCACGCACCTTTGTGGCAAATTGTTCGTTGCTAATTCATCACTACGTGGGAAACACAAACGAAAAACCTTAAAGTCAGTCATTTTAAGCGAACCCATTCCAATGCTTGCAAAGTCTTTGATTAATAGTTAAAATGATAAAAAAAAAAGAGCAGTAAGTTCCGTATAAATGTTAGACATGAAACCATAATACAATTTCGTAAACTGAGGAAGGCGATTACATTTTCAATAGACAACGGACGGTAAACATTTACTGACGCTTAAAGTTGTTGGACCTATCTATTCATATATATATATATATACATGATTTTATATATAGCTAGAATATTACTCTCATGGCCATAAATTAATTTTTACCACACGTCGCCTATTTTGAATTGTGCCCTTACACCATTGAACCATACAGCAATGGACACTCCTTGTATTATGGTCAAATGAACATTTGCAATAAAATAATAAAAATATAAAATATCGTAAAATAATCGGGCGAGAACAACCAAGATATTGGTCACCCGTCCACATCGTCAATACCATCGCGAAATCATAAATCGTTGGCCTTCCATCGTTGAGCATTAGTCGTCATCGTCAAGTGTTCGTTCGTTGATTGGATTTCGTATCCTCTTCTTAATTCAAAGGACACACATCCTTCCATATCTCACCGTAGATGAGATTCGATGTTATTCTTACGGGACGCTTATTCACCTGTACGTTGCGTATACAACCCTTGAAAGTCTTACGCGTCTTCAAGCCCGGAGCCTTGTTGAAGGCTTGGTGACCACCCATAAACAGAGGTCGATTAGTTTTGGTCATTGTCGAACCCTCCTGACCTACGCCCGGCTTAGCAGATATCCAATCCACCGATATGGTTATGACAAATTTCGATTTGACCGCTTGGACATTGCGCCACTTGCCATCGCAGAAGCTGCCATCGTCCGGCAGGGTGTAGTTGGTAGTGACAATATTCTTCTGATCCGATTTCACTGTGAACCACAACGTATTGTTGACTAACTCCAAAATCAAATACGAACTTTTGCCGTGCACGGAGAACAACAGACCATCCGGATCACGGGGACGGAAATCGAAACTCAAGCTGAAGTCAGTGCCGACAGTGAAGCGTTCGAACAGTTTAACGAATCCTGTTGGCTTGTTAAAGAACAGGCCCTGTTCCACTTTGTCGGAGCAGGGTACGACTAAGAAGGTTTGTGGCTCTTGTTCCAGCGGTATGCCGTTGAATTTCAAGTCCCTGAGACAACCGTTGAAGTACTTGGACACATCATTGAACTCGGTGTTATTGTGTACCGTTTCTTCGATATGTTTGGGTACACCACCCACATACAGAGGGAAGACAACATTAATGACATGGATATTCCGTTCTTCCAAGTCGAACGAAGGCAGCTGCTCTTCGTCGTCCACGAACAAGTTGACTCGGCGCTGTGTGCGAATAAATTGCACTGTGTGCCATTCACCGTCGTTGTATTCGGCAGTGCTGTTGACAACGATTTTTTCGGTTCCCAAGCGCACCGCATGGAAGATTTTACCTTCGTACAGATAAAGGGCAACAAAGTCGCTGTGATGTTTGTCCGCAGCGTAGAACAGAATACCATTGTTCTCCACTGTACGGAAGGTCAACGTGATGTCGTAGTGTTTACGCAACTTCGTGTTCAAACTGGGGATCTCCAAGCGCTGTTCGCGCAACGAGAAGAAACGATATCCAGCCTCCGAGAAATCAACATCATAGTTCGGATTTGTGGGCAATTTGCAACGTGGATCTTCCGGTAGGTTGAGTGGGCGGACAATTTCCGGTTTGCGTACCAAAGGTGTATCCACTTCATTGCCAGATTCGTCAAACTCGTCCGGCTTAATGAATGGTCTCTCAGTGGTCGTTGTAGTTGTGGTGGTTGACGTTGTTGTTGTTGTCGTCGTTGTAGTTGTAGTCGTTGTGGGAGTGGTGGTTATTACTCTCGTACTAGTGGTAGTCTCTGGAGCCAGTGTCGGCGGTGGTTGTGTCGTTAGAACTGTAGGTGGATGCGGTGCTTCGTGTTCTATTAGCGTTACTGGCGGCTTATTCAATTCATTGGCAGCTCCAGGATAGTATATCGGCACAGCACTTACGTCGTAGGCTGAAATAGTGGACACACAATTATTACTTGTAAACATAGCTACGACCACTTACTTCGAACTTACCCAATATATCACTTGGACAACCATTTATGTTGCCATTCTTCTTCTCCACACTGTCGGCGAAATTAATGATCTGGCCATTGACAGTTACGTCGCTGATGCATCCCACAAAGTAGGCTTGGTTGGATAAGCCATTACGTACAGGTACGAAGTCTTCGGGCAATCCACCGAAGAAGACCGATCCCGCAGATATGTACAAAGGTTCCGGAGCATAAGTCGAACTGTAAAGTAACCAAACAAAAAAAAAAGAAATCAGTAATTTATATCCACACCCTCCCTCCCCTTTCACAAATTACCGTTTGTCTTCCACGTCATCTATGGACAACCGCAACTGGGTATCATCGTGCAATATGGTTACAACGTGCTCTTCGCCATCGTTAAGGCGATGCATATCCGAAACCAATTCACTACCCATGCTACGTAACACCAGAAAACCATCGTCCAACGTCAGACTGATTGTGGAGCTTTGATCATGGTTGGTGCCGTACAATAGGACGCCATCCTTCTGTCGCGTTTTGAATTTCAGATTTATATTCAAATTATTGTCGGAACTAATATTGTTGGCCTTCAAGTATCCATGCTCATGCGGAGGATAGGCTAATGCCGTCGAGAATTTGTTGGGACATCCAGGCTTAACTCCCACGGCATTGATATGTTGACCGAGGTCCACCTTAATACCGGAGATGGTGACGTCGTCGATGCAGCCATCAAAGTTTTGATCCACGATCAAAGAGTTGTTTCGTTTGCCTGGGAATCCACCGAAGAACATACGTTTCAGGGCCGGCAGGGTGTCATCGACGTGAGCTGGTACCTCTTCTTGGATCATAAGTTGATCATCGACCCTAAGTAGACCACGTCGGCCATCTCTTTCTGCAACCACATGATGGAACTTGTTGTCGTTGTATTTGTCGCTACTGCCGGTGGACACAACATGGTCGCCCAACTTGTAGCGGAAGAATATCGCACCGTTGGACATTTCCACGGACATAAACTGATTATTGCGTCCATAGAAGAACAACAAGCCATCCTTGGTGTCCTTGGAAGCCTTGAAGTTGAACGTGATGCTGGATCTTTGTTTGAAGTTGAACGGTGTAGCCTTTAGGGCAACATAGCCATTGCCGTTGAAGCGATATCCCGTCGGAGGCACCTCCTCCGTGATTAGTTTGTTGCGTGGGAATGCTCCTTGATTATTTGATTCGCCATTAACGAAGTTCCACAGACCTACATGTTCTTCGCCAATGCGCAGGTCTTCCATGTCACCTACAAATGAACTCGTGTGAATGTCCTCAGGTGGTGCAAAATCGGCTGGCGGAGGCAATCCGCCTACGAACAAGCGGCTGTTGCGATCCACATTGAATACATTATTGGCTCCCAACAGAACGTCTTGGGTTTCGTGTTCCTTTATTTCCTTGTTGTCCAACTCCTCACGAATGGTCAACTTAACATTGGGACCTGTACGATCTACCACCACTTGATACCATTCATCGTCAGCCACATATTTCGGACTGGTAATACGTTCAGGGCCATTGCCCAAGTCAATGGTAAGTATGGGATAGCCGTTGACAATTTCCAGGGCCATGAAGTCATTATTCTTCGAGGGAGACGGTTGAGAGGATGCGGCTTTGTTGTCATTGCCCAGGAACAGTAGGAAGCCGTTGGTATTGTTTGTCTTGAAGTAGGTGGAGACTTTGGTTTGGGTAGCCAGAAGGGGCAATGTTTCGGGGGCCTTCAGTTCCAACACAGTACTGGTGCCGAACTTAACGCCAACCTTAATGTCATTGGCAATTTGACGAGCTGTTTCAATTTGACGTTTCAAATTTTCGATTTCCTCGCCAACATCCTGGGAAGCCCTCTCAACTTCAGCCTGCTGCTTCTCAACACCGTCAGCCAAATCAAGCAACGAGGAGATCGACTCTTCTACACCATCAAGTTGATTTTGAACGTGGGTGATATCCTTGTTGGTCGAGTCAATATCCTTGGAAATGTTGCGGGCCTTCTCCAACTCCTTGGGAGTCTGCTGAACAACTGGTTCCAAAATAGTCAACACCTCGGTCATGATTTCCAAAGCATCGGTGGCATTTTGATTCGAGTGTTTCCACAAATCTCTCTGTGAATCGGCAGGCAAGGCTTTCATGATTGTGTTGATGTCGGCCAATCTCTTTTCGGTGTTTTCATTCAGTTGAGATATGGCTTCCACCTTGGAGGCGGAGGCATTCAGACGAGGCTCCAATTCACTCTGAACCTTGTGCAGGGAGTCTCTAGCAGCCTGGAGAAGTTCAGCTGAATCTTTGTCGGCCAAACCGGCGCGGCCTTCAATGCCCTCCGTCATTTCCGTGGCATTGCCTGCAGCGAACTTGGCCTCTTTGGCAAATTGTTGAGCCGAGACGACGGCATCGACAATTCCACTATAGGCTGTAGCAGCCTTAATGGCGGGCTCAGAAGAGGCAGTCAGCTCGGCATACTGTTCGGAAAGGTCTTGTGCTCTTTTCGATAGCTCCAACGCCCGGAATTCTGCTTGGTTAGTCAAGCCCAGGGCTTCGATATGCTGCTTTTCCAAGCTGGGCAACGCGACATCGATTTGCTTGTTAAGATCCCGCAGACTATTTAGTACACCAGCCAAGTCACCAATTTTCTCTTCGATATTCGTTAGACCAAACATTCCATTAATGCGAAGGTCAGCGGCATCTTTAATGTGCTTCTCAGCCTCCTTCTGCTGGTCGCTGACTGCGTCGAATTTAGAATTCTCGAACTGCTGTTTGTTGAGGCTATTCAAAGCCTCTACTTCGGCAGCCTTTTGTGACGCCTCCTGGCTCCAGTTGTACAGATCTTCCAGTTTGTCACTGAATTCGCCAATGTCATGCTTCAACGAGTTCAGGGATTTGTTTTGGACGTTAATGGGCGTGATAACCAGGCTGATTTCATTCAGCAATTCGGTGGCTCTCTTCAAAACCAGATCGTTGCGTTCTAAGTCAATTGAGGTTTCATTGATTGCCTGCAGCAATCCTTGAGCATCTCTGAGAGCGGAATCTATTTTGGTGCTGGCAGCTGTTTCGAGGTTGCGGGACAGGGCATCTACGGCACCAATTGCATCGGCCGCTTCGTTGACACTCGTCGTAACTAAATCGCTAATGCTGGTCACGTTTTGCAAAAGGCCGCTAGCTCGTTTGCGGCTCTCTTCGGCGTTTTCCAATGTCAAGTTCACTTGTTTGACGTACTGCTTAGCCTCGTTCTCAACCTCGGAAACCATGATACGTGACGGTTCCAAGTTGACACTCTTTGGATCCAAGTTCTGTACCTCGGGTGCAATGGCATCTGTCAAATTCTCGAAATAGCTCAACTTCTGGCTGGTGAAGAAGGCCAAGGCAACCGACTGGAACTCATTAACTAAGGGATCGATTTGATAACGCAAGCGGTCTGTGACATCAAGCAGAGCGTGGTGGCAATTGTCGCATTCAAAACAACCCTCGTCCTTCTTGAGAACCCACCTATGTGGACAGTTATCGCAACGATCACCTATGACACCTGGCAAGCATTCGCATTGGCCAGTGAATGGATTGCAGCCAAATCCTCGAGAATATCCTTGGTTGCAGTTACAAGGGGTGCACCCATCCTTAGAATAGTTCCAGTGGTCGGTGGCACAACGATCACATTGCCGGCCGGTCACACCGGTCTTGCAAGCACATTTACCGGTGTGTTCGTCGCACTGTGTTGAATTGGAGGCAATGCCACAGTCACAAGAACGGCAGCCTACACCAGAGTCATAACCATAATGATCGGGCTTGCACCTGTCACAACGTTCGCCGATTACATTTTCGTGACACTTGCAGCTGCCCTCAAATGGGTCGCACTCCAAGGTACCCAACTCTTCGCAGTCACAGCTCTGACAATTCTTCAGTTTGATAGCATCTCCATAGAAACCAGGGGCACAGAGGTTACACGCGGCGCCGAAGGTGTTATTCAAACAACGCAAACATTCACCAGTGATAGTGTCGCAGGATCCAGGCTCGGAGAGATTTATATTTCCGGAACAGTCGCAAGGTTTACAGTAATCACCGGGAATTTGAGGATTTCCGTAGTATCCATTGGAACAGTATTCACACTTGGGCCCAGTGTAGCCCGGTTTACACTCACAGTGGATCTTGTCTCCAGCTTCTGAAATCTCACAACCAGTTGCGAAGTTATTACTTGGAATGGGCAGAGGGCAGGCACATATCATGCAATCGTGAGGCGACCCGTATGTGGCATCGCCGTAGTATCCTTCAATGCACTTTTCGCAGTGGTCTCCAGTCGTAGAGTGTTGACAGTTTTGACAAATGCCAGTGGCGCAGTCGCAAGTTTCAGCGTGGCCATTGCACTCACAGGGGATGCAGTATCCACCATACGGTCCAGAGTTATCCCTATAATAACCAGGAGCACAGTCTTCACACGACAGACCGGTGTAACCAGCAGGGCATTGACATTTCTCCACAGGCAAGAAGGAATAGTCATCCATATTACCATCTTCGGCCTCGTCTGCGAGTGTCAAATAGACATCGGATAACTGAGCCAGTAGTGTCTGTTCCCAGTAATTGGCGCGAATGTAGATCATGTGCAGATTCCTTAGGGTCATCATGAAGTCGGCACGACTAACGGTTTTGCCATTTTGGGTCATAAAATTGCTTTCTACCATTTCTACGCGATTCTTGAACATCTGGTTGCTCGACGGCTGCTCGTAGCTCTGATGCACCAAGACATGGTCCTTGCTGAAAAGAATGACATCGGGAGCCGTTATCGGTTTGCCGGAGAGACCAGTGGTATAGTACAACGAGTAGCCCAATTCTCCGCCGTAAGCTGAAATGTGGCTGTTCTGGTTCATCAGATAGTCCAATACACCGAAATAAACTGTGGAGTCATCCTCGATTTCGTTCAGCGAGAAATCGGCCTGCAACATCGTTTCGTTAATCAGCAAATCCTCAGGCGGTATTTCCCAAATTGAAAAGTCGATGGATTTCGGTGTAAACTGGGCAGTATTGAGGGAGACCTTCTTCAGCAGACTGACGTTGTAAACCTTGAGGTAGGCACTTTCGCAACGTGAGGTCTTACCGAAACAGAAACAAGGGGTACAGCCATCAGGATTGGATTCATGCAAATTATAAGTGCCTTCCACACACTGGTCACAATCTCGGCCAATAGCATTCTTCTTGCAGAAGCAAGTACCGTCAACTTTATCGCAAATCTCCAACTCTGTACCGGCAACATTACAGGAACACTGTTCACACTGAGGGAAATCAAAGAAGCCATTCTTACATTCATCGCAAGCGCGGCCTTCTATATTTTCACGGCATTCGCAACTACCGTTGAAGGCGTCGCACTGGGTTTTGCCATCGGCAATGCCCAAGTAGTTACAATCGCAAGGTTCACAACCGATAATCTGATGGAAACCGTAGGTGTTAGGGGCACACTTATCACACAACTCCCCGATAACGTTGGGCGGGCAGACACATTCTCCGGTGTGTGGCTCACACATGGCCGTGCTGGGACAATCACAAGGCTTGCAATCGGGGAAACCGTAAAAGCCGGTCTTACAGGCCCCGCATTGACGCTCAATAATGTTGGGTTTACACTCACACTGTCCACCAAAGGGTCGGCACTCGAAACTGGTGGAGCCGGCATAATTGCAGTTACATGGCAAAGCCCCACTATTATAGTCGGCTGTCAACGAGAATACGGCCTTTTTGCAGAAGTCGGACGCATTGTGAGTGATGTAAAAATGGTCTTGGCCACACTCTTTAATAAACTCCTTTGTCTGGTCAAAGGTTTCCTCCTCCAAGAGATCATCGTTGTACTGATCCACAGGCACCACCACCAGGTAGTCCAACCATACTCCCTGGGGCCTATTGTTGGTGATAGTGAACTTGAATTCATCGTCAATGTCGAACCATTCATCGCCATTGGGGCGTATTACGCCGCGGCATCCTGAGCTCGATGGACAATGGTTGATGTGGAATTTCCCATCGTATTGGTTCTTTCCGGCTGTCAAGGTGTACATTACCTTGAATTTGGGGTGGTCTGGTTGGTAGTATTTAACCAAAACCACATAACGACCAGGCTCCGACACCTTTGATTCGATGACAATAGATGATTCCTCCTTATTATCCAGATGCACCAGTTTCACCTTATCGTCTAGCACGGCATACGGTGGCTTATTCCACGATATCCTGTCCTCGTGATCACTCTCGAATTCGATCTTCTTCGAGTCGGGAACCGAACGGAATTTGGGGGCTGCACATTGGTTCTTATTCATCACGCACACTGGACTGGGCGTAATGTAATCTGTGGACCATTCTTCGGCGGGTATGGCAGTTACCGAAATGATGGCAATCTTTTCGTTTTCCTCAAAATCAGCATATACGACAACGGGCTTATCTTCCTCCTTGTCAATGTAGAATACCTTCTCGCGAATTTGATCGTCAATAATCGGGGTGCGACATGCCATCGAGTACAGACAGGGATAAACAGTGGTGGAACCATAATTATCGAGGTCATCGCCTATACGCAACTTAATAAATCCGGGTTCGGCATAACTACGTTCACTTATGTAGTCAATTACGAATATATATTTTCCACTCCGTGGTACCTCTACCAGGTAGTACAATTCCAACTGATCCGAAGTGAGCATGGGTATGTCTCCGACGTGGTTTATGATGGTCAAATGATCCGGATCGTTGTAAAAATCAAGAGGATTTGTGGGCTTTCCTTTTGGATTGAGAACGTAGGGTTGCACCGCAGGCTTGAAGCTGTGAAAGAAACGCATTAGATATCTTTCAAATTGCAAACAGTGAAGCAGACGATAACTCACTCTTCCACGGAAGCGTATTTGTAGTGTCTGCACAAGTCCATGTTGCCAAGTTCGCAGGGATTTAAGATTTTCCGGGTCAAAATGGAAGCTTCATAGTAAGCAGCCGGCAGCAGGACAAAGTAATCCAGCATCACATTCTTGTTGCATTTGGTAGTGAAAATGTATTTGCCTGGATCCAAGACAACAGCCGATGGCTTCTTACCCTTCTCACCGGCAACGGTCACAAACTGTGGTGAAGTGGTTGGGCGCAACAACACTTTGACGCTAAAAAACGAAATACATTGAAATAACAAATATTTAGATTTTCCACAGCTACTAGCTATAGCTACAGCTACAACTTATTCCTACTAGGGTTCGAACATACTTCTGATCAACCTCCAAAGGATTTTCCGATTGTATCAAAATACTGGCAGTTACATTGAAGTCGTTCAAGTTGACATATCGAATTACAATACGATACACGGACGACTTGAACACGTTCAACTCATAGCGCACTTCGTTCTGGATATCATTAAAGACGGCATAGCCCTTGCTACTGTAACCGGGAAACACTTCGTCGTCGTATTGGTATCGCACCTTGGCGCCCGAAGGCTGGGAGCCATCCTCGTACTCATATTGGAATTGGTGCAATGTGGGGAAGTAATGGGTAGTCAGTGGCTGGGTACAATCGCGACCAGTGACACGAGGGTGGCACTTACATTGGCCAGTAGTTTTGTCGCACTCGCTCTTCCACGATCCACCAACATCACAATTACAGTCTTTGCAACCGAACAGGGATGAACCGTCTAAATCATAGGTACCGTCCTTACATTCCTTACAAGTACGACCATCGGTATGAGGCTTGCAGGTACATTGGCCCGTCTTTGAGTCACACGTATCCAGGGTGCCAATAGTACCGTCAGACCAACAATCACAGACCTCACAACCATCCGGATTCGAGATGTTCAAATTCCAAAACAGAGGCATGCATTCATTACAAATGCGTCCCGTAACACGTTCCTTGCACTGACACAGCTCTCCCACGGGCACCGAACCACATCCGGCAAATTTGTCAATAACACCGGCAGGGTCACAGTTGCAATCTTCACAACTGGGGAAGTTATAGAAACCCTCTCTACATGTGTCGCAAAGTTTGCCGTCGAAGTTGGGATGACACAAGCACTGACCATCAGAGTTGCACGTAACGCCCACCGAGCCATGGACATCACAGTTACAGGCTGTTCAAATACAAAACATCGAACTGAGTTATTAACGGCAAGTCATTTTTTCACCTCCATCTACTTACGCAAACATTCCGGATAATTGAAGTATCCAGCACTGCAAAGGGTACATTGTTTGCCGGCAAAGTTCGAGAGACAGTTACACTTGCCGGAGTTGTCGCAGGTAATGGCTGTACTGCCTGTGGCGGAACAATTACAAGGCTTACAGTCGGGGTAATTGTAGTAGCCGGGCAAGCACTGATCACAGCGAGGACCTCCGAAACCTTCCCGACAAATACATTGGCCATTATCCTTGTTGCAGACCTCCTCCTCAGTACCCTGGACATCGCAGTCGCAATCTAAGAACATTTAAGACTCACATTAGGCTATGCCTTTGTCATGGCACTGCAAACAAACACTTACATTGGCACTTGGGATAATTAAAGTAACCGTGCTTACAACGCTCGCAACGTTCTCCTCCGAAGCTGCTCAAACACTTACATTGACCCGTTACCAGGTCGCAGTCATTGCTAATGGAACCAACCTGGTTGCATTCGCAGGCTGTAAAGATACGAAATCGGGTGAGTCTCAATCGTTCACTCTCGCCTCTTCACACACGACTTACCTTTACATTCAGGGAAAGCGTAATAGCCGTCAGCACATTGTTTGCAGTAATGACCAGCAAAGTTAATTTTGCACGGACACTCTCCGTTGACAGCCTCACAGTGGTAACCATCGGTGCCGTTAAGATTGCACTCGCACTCACGACAATTAGGATAGCCGTAGTAACCATAGGCGCATGACTTACAGTCCGGAGGTTGGAAAGCTTTGCGACATTCGCATCGGCCAGTTTCCTCTTCGCAATGGCCCGTCGAATAGAAAAAGTCACACTGGCAGGCTGTGTGGAGACGTTCGGTTAGAAATGGTCACGGTTCCTGTAAATTCCTAAATACTTACGTTGGCACACATCGGTCTCATTCCAATATTTCCCAGCTGGCCTGTAGTACTTCGCCTTGCACTTGTTGCAGTTGATGCCTTCGGTGTTATGTTGGCAATTCAAGCAACGACCACCACCTTCGTAACGACCATGGATATCCAATGATAAACTCTTGCGATCAATATCCTCATCGTAGACACATTCGTTGGTGTGGCCATGACAGTTGCAAGCTAAAAAGTTACGAGGTGCAAATTACACTAAACACACATGCGGGGGGTTCGGACTACTTACGTTCGCACTCGAAGGGTCGGGCATTGGTGTTTTGACGCCATTTCTTTTGCTCGAATCCTGGACAACATTCGTTACACTGAATTCCGCAGGTATGATGCTGGCAACGACAAGCCAAAATACGAACAGGACTTTTGGGATCCTTCACATCACAGGTGTCCGCATGACCATTGCACATACAGCGACCGCCAATAGATATGTCCTTAATCGAATAGAAATAACGACGTGTCACAGTAGGATCCTGGCGGGCTACCGACATCAAATGGCCGAGCAAGTTTTTAGTACGCAACAAGCGTATGCGTACGTTCGTGGCCCGTGTCCATTCTTGCAACACAGTCGAGTTGAAGTAGTTCGTAGCCGAGGGACGATCGTTGAGCAACATAACGGGAATTTCACCATTCTCCAGTGGTACGATTTTCGAATATTCAGTCGTACAGATGACATCATCGTCTTTGGTAATGGGTTTGTAAGTGTCCTTGCCGAAGTAGGTTTCACAATCGGCAGGAGTGTCCGAGAAATGTTGCCATGGCGTCCATGTCTTGCCATAATCACTTGATTTTTCCAATGTCCATAGACCGGGACGTGGCGAATTGCCCATGCGAATGAACAAATAAGCGACATGAAATTCCTGAAAATCGTTGGAAAAAAACGAAATAAAAAATTACATATTTGCTTTTCCAAAATTTCAGATGCGCTGCGACTGAGAACACATTTAACAATCATTTCTAAATTTCAATTTTTAAAACTCCCTTGACATTGTATCCCCGATGCAAGTGGAGACTGAACTGTACTTAAAAAAGAATTTGTACATTAAATTCTATTGCATACTTTTAGACGTTTTTTAATATACAGTGCAACTGTTGGACGACATATCGTACGTCTTTATTAAATATTTAAATACAGTCAATTTCCTTCTTTCAGTAAATTATCCAAAGCAAAGCTAAGCAAGTGTATGCCAATTCATTCATGATGTGTGCTAGTTTTTACAACACGAGCAAACTGATTGAAGCCATTCATAATTTCATTGTACATTTTTAGTGGTTTCAATGCCTTATCAGTATTTAGCGGAAATAAACATCCACGTTTTGAATGGGCATTTCAGCGATAGTCAAATAAATGTGTGCCAAAAGTACAAACGTCAAACATCGAGAGGAATAACAATACGAAATTATGCCACTATGTATTTATTATATCAGACAAAAGCAACACAAATATTAAAAAATGTGGCTACCTATTCAAAAACTATGATCGTGATATTTGGAGCTAAGAACTGTACTCCCGTCCATCTCAGGGTTTCAATGCGATGCTTCCTTTTTATCACTTTGGAATCAGAAATCTCATATATTCCAGCAACGTATGCACTTTCTTAAATCCAATGAAAATGCATATGTATGTGTACCTGTTTTTTATTTTGTTATTTTGTATTTCAATCCCTTTTCTTGTCGTACACAATGATACTGTTTGTTTTCAATACGTTTTCGCGAAATGTTCATATCATGCCTGTGTGAGCTTCATTTATTGCCAGGCACATTGAAATTCTTGCTATTCATTAGATGAGATGGTGTTGTTAACTGATACTGAGCTCATTTTATTGCAGCTATAAAATTACTTTGCCTCCTTGCACAGTTTGTCAGTGCAGAGGAATAGAACTTTTGAAGAGTCTAACATAGCCGTGCACTATTATGGCTGTAATTAGCAGAGATGAGAAGTACGAACTTAAAGACAATGTTTGACAAAGTCGGACGGCGCCGGCTATATGGAAGAAATGCTGTAAGGATTTATTTTATAGTCCTGAAAGTCTTTTTTTTTTTGTCGATCGGACAAACGCAACTTGATTAGTGCAGAATTTAAATTAAATTAAACGATACTCCAAGTTCAAGTAAGCTCGGTATTATTGTTCCTCATAGTTGCATTTAAAAAATAATCAAAATATGTTATTTCCAGTCCATCATGTGGAAATAGGCTCTTACAATCGAATTGTCGGAAATTTGGCATTTCGGATTCCCAGTTCAGTATGTGATATAAGGAATGTCATTAATTTATACATATATATTCAATCAAAATAATTACAGATCTACAATTAATCTCAACAACAATCTAAATCGAATGAAATGTACAGTTCTCAAAAAATAAGGAGCCTATAAAAAAATACACAGCACAGGCTCGACATATAGTGCGTGGAAATGTAAGTATCCGTCATAAAATTGAGAACGAAGTCATATGTTCTCTTCTCTTCATCTGATATGACTCAGTATCCGCCTATAAGACAACATCTTCATCTAATACAAATATTTTAATTGTTGATATAATGATACTTGAACAAATGAAAAACTGCGATGAATTCATATCCGTTCCACTGGAGTAAAGCGATTTTGGTGGTGTTAGGTTATTATGTGTCTGTTTCATTTGTGTTTATGTTCGCAAAAAGTATTGCATTAAATTGGAATTGTGTTTCTGAATTCCAAACTATGATCTCATCAAAGGCAATGCATTTTTGAATGGAAAATGCCATTTAGTACAGTGCAGTGTAAATCATTTGAAGAAAATGTCTTACAACAATGTCTACCGCTAATTATGAACACATTCGTTTTCCACTGTTTATAAAAAGCTTAACTATTTACATTTTAAGTTTTTTTTTACAGCGAAATTAATTTAGCCTAGTTTAGCAACGTTCAAATGATGAGGCATACACAATTACAATGTTTGCAAAATTTTACATCATTTGTTTGTTCATCCAGCAAATATATGTATCTTATGGAAGTCGGAACGCAAAGTCTTCGTTTCGTTTACTATTAGCGAGAAAATGTTCATTATAGATATTGAAATATATGTAGATGCTGAGGGTATTTTAGAAGTGAATCGCATTTTTATAATTACCAGACACTGTTTTCCTCAAGTTAATGCAGTTATACATCTACATACATACATATATGCATATTGTAATAAGTTCTAGTCTGAAGTTATTGGCTGTAATGTAAAAAATGGGAATACATATATGTACAAATATCTCTGTTATTTTTTGTGAGACTATACCGATATTCTAGGTTTATAAAAATGATCAGAACAAAGAATCAAAAAACGGTGTTTGTAACTGTCGAAATAAATTGCTGTTGATTGTACACCAAAACCAATATGAGATCACAACATCATTGAAACACTAAAGACATATGGACATACACACATCTGATCATTGCGGATCCAAAGCGAGCACAAAAAAACTCGAAAACCAACAGAATTTTTTAATTTAATTTTTATTTTGTTTGTTTATTCAGTTTCAATATTGTCGAAGAAGCAAATTTGTTTTTTTAATGAATTTGCAGTCCATGTGTTTGTCAGTTTGTTTATGAATATTGTGGTTGAATGAGATTTTTTGGATATTGTTTAGAGTAGAGTTCAGTGGTGCCAGATCTTGTTTTATTTTATCAACGATCTATGGGGGGAAGAGTAAGGCTAACTCCCAATACTTGAATTTGTAATTTACGCTAACATTAATAATAAAGTTGGCATGCCTATAGAAATCTTTTTGGATATTTCTAGCAGAATCCCATTTATACTGCAACTGTGTGGCATCTGTAGCAAACAATGTAGTAGCCAAGACATTTTTTTTTTTGTTTTTGAATACGTATCGATTTTTATATGTACTATGTACATGTGTTTGATACACACAATGAAGTCATGCATTTGAATAATAAATACACAAAACAATGAATGGAACTGCGAATAAATGCATAAATGAGAAAACTTTAATAGGGATTTCAATAGGGAATAATAATCCAGTGTTTCATAAATAAAATTGGAAATCGAACCGTTCCTGAAGTCATTTGGGGGCCTAGGTATTGTTCCTTAATTAAAAAAATACAAACACACAAAAACTCTGACCATTTTATTCCCAATATATTAAGTCTCCATAAACCAATTTTTAATAAAAAAAAGGTGTAGAAAAAAAGGAAAATAAGAAATAACCTAATCAGCTAAATAAATAAGTTAAACCAAATATATTAATATCTTCTTTCTCAAATACTGTACAACGTCGAATTACTCTTATCGCATTCAAAACACATTATGTATACCATTTTTTACTATTTTATATTCAAAAAAAAAAAAAACATACTAAAAAATTACTTTCCGTATATATATATTTTCGTTCTTAATAAATCTCGGTTTAGGGACCGAGATAAGCTATAGTTTTTGTTTTATTTTCTTATCAGCGATTTCCTGCTATGCTTCAGAGTCAAACATAACCACCACATTGACTTCTTCACAACTAAGGCATACATTGTCCAAGAGAACTGCTGATAAACCGGCATATGGTGTTATTATTTTTTTTATTTTTTTCTTTTTCTTGTCCCTCAAGTTGCCGCCCATGTTTTGTAAATATGTATGTTCATATTTCATTCCAGAAGAAAGAAGAAAGGCCATAGCCATCGACACTTGTGGGGTTTCTCATTTCCTTTGCGTTGTTCAGAAGAAAGCAAGATATGAAGCAGCTGCCCCCCTCAAACTATAACCACAAGAAGAATATGGGTTCGTGGAAATGGAAAATAAGATAATATGTACATTTGCTTAACTCTGCAACCGCACAACACATTTTCCGATAACCCTTAGTCAGGTCATAGTACTGGAGATACGTCTGGTGTATTGGATATTCTTTGAAAATATTGAGACGCACTCTTACGTATGTATGTATATGAACATACGCTTGAGGTTTGCTTTTTTAATTTCTTCTCCTTTAGGAGTACTAAATTTTTGAATACAAGTTTTATGTCAGACATGTTTTCATCAGGAGTCTGTCAAGCTTTCAGGGCATTTCTTGCGAAGCAAACATAAAATGCACTGAAAACAATTGTAGTGTAGGCAATGTAAATATTTGAAAATACTAATGCAGAAACCGAACCCGAACTATATTCAAAGTCGATAGAGTATAAACATTAATGGTAGATACGTTTACACAGCTACCGACGTTTTCAAAATCCTGTGTTCCTAAACCCACAATCATTTGTCTCGGTGTACCACAAATGAATTTCATTCCCCAAACAGGTTCCATATTTTTCGTTCTGTTATATTTCGCTTGTTTTTAATGACAGCGAATTTGGGAATAGGGACACAAAAGATTTGTTGTGTTTTATTTCGAAAAGGTTTTGAATTTCTTGCTTTTCTTCAGCTCCAACATTCGCCGACACGGTACTTTTTTTTTGTTCTTGCTTACCTGGCCAAAATCGATGGTTAAATTGACTTCATTAAATTTCATGCCACGAGATAGTGGAGGACTTTGCCACCATTGTTCAGTGCCGTCGATGGCATGTTCGGGCGAGTGATTCTTTTCGGGTATGGTGGGATCACAATAATCGCAGACCTAAAAAATAAACAAAAAAAGACATGAGAATATCAACAAAAAATATCTACGGAGATCCAAAATAGATTTATGATTTTCCATTTAATCTTTAAAATTGACAGGCATATTAGACAGATAGACTATACACATACATACAGATGCACATGTTGTATACAGCGAGTGTCAAAAAATACATCCAGCTGATTGGTACAAACTTCATAACTATAACATGGATATGGACCAACAGAATATTTCTAGTTAACTTCACTACAATAGTGAATTTTCCCAGAATATACTATTTTAAATATTTCGAAAGGCATAATTTTCAAATAAATTAATGTGAATGGGAACTGATTTACTTTTCTTGAGGATTTTAATTTTAAATTGGAATATGTTGTTTTAATGGGTGTATTCTCATTTTTGAAACTAACTGTACAGTGGACATGGAAACACATGTGTGGGCATTACTTAGCTCAAATATATTCCATTTCGTAAATTAAAATCTGTCTACAAGACGCACACACACACACGCTCTCCGCCACTTTTAGAAAAATACCCCACCAACAAAAAACATTCACACACAACTCCTCTAACATTCATTCAAATATTTACTTGAAAAAGCAAACACGATAAATTTTAAAAATAAATTTCAGTTAACCGGCAAGACAACATGCACGCACAAAATATACAGCACCCCCTGCGCAGATCGGATCAACTCATTCTTACCTGACCCTGAATAACAGAATAATCGAATGGATCGTTTTCTGTATTGGCACCAACTAATTTACAATACAACTCGGGTCCATCTGTATCACTGCCACATGTGGCCGTGGCATAAATTTTACGTCCGGTGGCTAAATTAAAATATGGTGGCGTTAGCTCAGCATTTGTTCGAATAACGGTCAACGTTACAATCACTACCGCTAGCCACACCAGCATTGGGGCATTGCGGTTACACCCCATTGTGGCTTTTTTCTTTATCTTTCAATTACTTTCACGCAAAACAATAATGTCCTTAATAGTCCTTTCTCTTGTAATTTTGTCGCTTCACTTAGCTCTATTTCTTATTTTTCACTTTTCGTTTTATTTTCTATTCCAGAGGACCATCCCAACCGCACTGGATGGCTCTTCGTAAGCAACTGATTCGAAGTGTGTAAAACACTTTTCCTTAATGCCTGCCTGTGGCATGTTTTGTTTGGGTCATTTCTTATCAAAATTCATTCATTCTTACGACGTGGCTGCGCTGTTGACGTCTCTGTGGCGGCTCAGTTAGTGAGTCTGGAGAGTGTTGTGTAGTCAAAACAAAGAATAGCAGCAAAACAAAATACAAAAGCCGGTATGCTTGGACCGGCATGAGAGTACTGTAAACAAATGATTACAGTAGAGCATGGGTGCTCAAAAGCGAAGATGCACACCGGCGTTGATGCGATCTCATAACATTTTTGTTTTTAATACAAAAATAAACATTAACAAAAAGATTTCCGGAATTTTTTAATGAAGTTGTTTTTACACTTCTTCGGATATAATTTATGTTTTAAAAACTTTTAATTAATCGTTTCCCGCAGAACAATCCTTACTTTTATTTTCCCTTAACAATTTTTCAGAGAAATGTTGCCCTTCTTTGCTAGAAAATAATGCTTTTCATGCTGGAACTGGTGTCCTTGTTTATAAGCATTAATAATCTCGTTCTCCGTGATCTCTTTTTGTAAGTCATTTCACATGCTCATTTACTCTTTAAACACCTGTATCCAAAAATCAGAGTTGGACAGCCATCAATGGTGGGCAGAATTTCTCTTAAAAATTTGTTAAGGGAACATAAAAACAAGGCTATTCATCGGAATTTAAATATTAAAACATTTTTAAAAAATAAATAATATCCAGGGAAGTGTAAAAAAACTACTTCAGTACAACAAATTGGAAAAAATGCTGGTGTGCATGGCTGCCCAATTTCCCCTTAACAATTTTTAAGAGAAATTTTGCCCACCATTGATTATGTAAGAGCAACTGAGAATCCGCAGCGAAGAAACACTTGTTCTCTGTCTTTTCCGTGTACTAGTCCTCATGGTTGAACAGCACTGCATTATAATGACTCGAAATTAACACATGGTTTTATTTTTGACTCAAAAATCTACGACGGAATACATCAAATTGTATCTACATAAATTCTACAAAATTCGTATACATAAATGCTCGAAAATCAAAATTTGCAAAATTTTATGCCACGCGTACGAGAAACTCATTAAGGGACTGCAGGATGCCTTTCCCGAGTCGAAAATTATTGGTGAAGAAGAATCGGCGGCGAGTAAGCGATTGGCTGAACTTACCGAGAATCCAACATGGATTATAGATCCCATTGATGGCACAACAAATTGCATCAATAAAATTCCCCATTGTTGTATATCGGTGGGATTGGCGATTAAGAAACAGCTGGTCGCTGGTATTGTCTACAATCCAATATTAAATGAAATGTTTTCCGTTTGGAAGGATCATGGTGCGTATTTGAATGGTGAGCGGATACATGCTAGCAAGGTTAATTCGGTAAGTTGTGGACAATTTGATTTTTATTTCTTATCATCGTCATATGATTTTGTGATAATTGTCCCCAACCCCCAACCCCCATCCTATCACCATTACCATCTAATCTTTAAGGTTAAGATTTTATCCGGATTTTTTTTAGGCCAAGGTGATACAGCTTTGATATCTAGACAATGCGCTATGGGGGTAGGGTATTTGCCATGTCATATTTTTTAGATTAACAAATCTAAACAGAAACGTATATTCTGGCAAATATATTTCTATTTACCGATCTTCAGTAAATATGCTCCAGAATATTTATTCTTAATAAGCAGGGTTTAAAATGCAACATCAAAAATATAAGCATTAGCTTTAAGCAGCTATTGTGTGTTGTTAGTTAAAATAAACTTGTCAAATCGTAATCAAAAACTGTCAATAATAGTACTAAAAACTAAATTTTATATTAAATAAAAACCCTTAGCAAGTATTACTAATTGTCTTTGTTCGGAGAAATGATCGCGATTATTAATTCTCTCATATAATTTATAACATTTCAATGGGCAACACTGAACTCGAAAAATCCTCGGGGTTTGTTTGCTAAAAATCTTGCTAAGTCGGTTTGTCAATTATGTTGTAGTTGTTCATTGCTATTTTGTAGCTGCTGACAGTATCAAGAAGTTTTAGTTCTGCTTGTTGAAAAGGTTTGTAATGTGTTGCTTAGCACGAATGCTGCGAATTAAAAAACCTAGCCGTTTGCTGATTTAGTCATAATGTCAATATTTTTTAGCAGTGGCTGTGCTGATGCTAATATTTTTGGATGCTGCATTTAAAACCCTGGCCCTTTTAGATAGACTTTTACCAAATTGTCAGAATATATCGTCGATCAATCGTTTGACACCAAAAATATATTAATGAATATGAAATATATAAAGTGCTTAAATGTGCTCCACTATAAAAATTGTGTAAAAATGTAAGATCCGCCGAACCGATTGGACTCAAAAAAAAAATTTTTTTCGATAGTATGTAATTGCAGTGGAGAGATATTTGTGGGGCTACACGAATTTCGTCGGGTCCGCTAGTTAATTAATCATAATTCATCAATAAATATTTGCGGACAAAAAATATCAAACATAAATAATTGTTTTCGCATTATCGAAAGTGCATACTTATGTTTACTGTTGTTAGTCAATTTGACTCATAGAATCGTTTCAAAGTTAACCGCATAACATGAAAATTAGGATTATGACTTGATTGCAACCTCTTATCCCAGTATCATATTTTGATGATTTCTTATATAAGATCAGACACAATCTTAATGATTAAACAATTCTAAAAAATACCTTACGCCTAAAATCATTTGAAATTTATACGAAGATTTGAAATTTGTTTTTAAGTGATTGTAAGCCAACATATAATTACACACAATCTTTAGAGCCACACAAAATTGTATAACCGTTTATATCTCACGTTCCAAAATAAAGAAAGACAATCGATTTGAATAAAATACTAACACTGAGTTGTAAAAAAGTCAAATGTTCATCGATTGAAATTTTTCCGTTTTTTATGATTAAAAAATAACTTAATTTCAAAGTTGATGATTTTCTGCGAAGTTTTGGGTCAAATTTGATACCCTTTTTTCTATTTCGGATTCAAAAGGTGTGATAAAGGGTTACGGTTTGACAAAGTTTTGAACAAATCGGATACTTCGATCACGGAGACGTAAGGTTTCCTTTTTAAGACATGTTGAAAAATTTTTTGTTTTGTAATTTGATCTGTACACGAAAAAATAGACATCAAGGCAGAAAGCAGCTGATTATATTTGAATATTAATAATATTTTTTTTTTATTTTCCAAGTAAGACAATTTTGTTGCTGACATATACGAACATACCTATTATTTCAAAATAATAGCTTTTAACTGGTAGCACATTTAAGACACAAACCATCATCATAAAGCGAATCATCATGGACAGAAAGCAGCTAATTATATTTGAATAAAAATATATATGTATATATTTTTTTCATTTTCCAAGTGGGAAATTATTTTTACTAATGAACATGTGTACAAATTATTGAGTAAACGATCTTACCTATTATTTCAAAAGAATAGCTTTTAACTGGTTGCAGATTTAAGACACAAACCATCATCATTGAGCGCTTTTCAGTAATCATATATTGTTGCTGTTGTTGTGTTCTTTAATTTTCAGATGTAAACATAAACCTGATACTCGTTGAAATGAAAATCGAAGGTGAATACCATTAACTTGAATTCAGTAAGTGGAAATGTTTTTTGGGCCGTGTCTTGTAGCCGAAATGTAACGCAACCGCATACAACCATCGTACGCCGCAACACTGGAGGAACCGAAGTCAACGGAAAAAACCACAAAGTTAAGTTTATTGCAACTATTATAGCGGCGATTGCCTCATACGTTTTGGACATTAATGTGGGTTTTGAAAAATTCAAATAACTGGTTAGACATATTTTCTACAACGTGCAGAAGTCGTTTTTACGATGATACAATCGTATGTAAACGATACCTCAAATGTTATACCATGCACCCAATCAGTACCCACACTATGATACCCAATTTTCAGATATGTTGCAAATGGCATACATGCAACATTGAATATGCGGCACTGGCTCCGGCTGCCACAATGTAGTTTATCGGTTTGTGTTGTTGTTGTTCGATTTTTTCGATTGTAATTAAACTCTGGGTTGCCTGTTTTACAACGGCTGAGTGAATGAATTCATGATCAATACTAGGCTCCGTCGACAGACAATGGCGATTAGTTTTCATTGTTTGCCGAAATAGCATTCAAAGGCATCTCGAAAGCTTTTGCAATTCAATTAAAAGTGAACTTGTCTTAGTTGTTTCTGTGCCATGTAGTTGTTATTGGCACCATAATTCTACCCATCTTACCATTCTCGTTGCTTGTAAACTAAGAAGTACTTGACAGACTAAAAAACATGTCCTAAATATGAATCTGAAAACTAATGGAGTTATAAGTAACTCTATGTCAGATGGAGTATTTAGGATTTAATTTATAAAAATATGTTGCTCTCATTGCTGCGATTTCATTGCAGGAAATCGGGCCAGACACAGGCTCGTGTCTGATCGCATCTGCTGTTTACGTTTGTAAACAGCATATATTTATATATATTTTTTTGCTTACAAATATATTAAACATTGCCTTTTACAATATCCACCGCAAATAAGAAGAGTGTCCGCAATAGGTACAATAGGTCATTTTGTTTTAAAATTTTGAATACAAAGCAACTAGTCGTTTGATATCGCCGAGATCGAGATCATGCAATTACAACACAGCTCAATTTTGTAATTTGACATAATACATTTTTTCTATGGTTCATGAAGAAAATGCTTTACATTTCTGTCGAATGAAGAATATTTTTGTCCTTGTGCGTCTTTATCGTTCTTATTTTACTGGATTCCGTAAACTATTAAGCAG